AGGCTTGCTCTGCCCCGAGCTACATTCCTAGCCCTTTTTCTAATTTTTATTTTGAGGCAAGCTTATTAAATTATCTAGGCTGGGCCAGTGATATAGCTCAGCGACACAGCACCTGCCTGGCAAGTGCAAAGTCCTGAGTTCGATTCCCAGTACCAAAAATAAGAAATAAATAAATTACCTAGACTGGCCTTGAACTTTTAACCTTCCTGCCCCAACCTCTACCGAAACTGGGATTGCAGACATGAACTGCTATGCCTGGCTTAATTTTAATTTTTAAGAGTAGGGGTGTAGCCAGGCATGGTTGTGCATGTCTATATTCTCCATACTCAGGAGGCTGAAGCAGGAGAATCTTAGCAAGTTTGAGGCCACCTTGGGCTATAGAGTGAGATCTGGTCTCAAAAAAAACCAAACCAAAGCAAAACAAAATAAAAAACAGAGTTAGGTCTGCATGTAATTTTATGAGTTAAACAGTTCTATAAGATTTGTTACATAAAACAGCTGTGTTTTACAACTCAAACCGCATTTCCAACTTCTCAGAGGCAACCACTTGTGACTTCTCAGCTGATTTTCTGTGTTTTGTTTTTGAGGTAGGCCCTTGCTAAATTGCTCGGACTAGCCTTGAACTCATGATCCTCCCACTTTAGCCTCCCAAGCAGCTGGGATTACGTGTGTAGCCTCTTGCCTGGCTTATCTGCTTGTTTTGTTTTGTTTTGTTTTAGTAACCCTGTCCCCAGTCCTTTCCTTATTTTTTATTTTGAGACAAGGTCTCAAAAAGTTGCTCAGGCTGGATTTGAACTTGTGATCCTCCTGCCTCAGCTTCCCAGCTTGCTGGGATTACGGGTGTGCACCACCAGCTAGCTGAGTCTTTTTGATGCTGACTTTTCACATTTGGCTCGCTTTTCTTCCCTTCCTCCCTCCTCCTGCCTGAATTAGTTGTAATTTTGCCTGGATACCCTGTCTTGCCCTTGTGGGCGGGGGGCGGGAGGCATTCGCAGCTGAGTCCGAAGGAGTACACGGTTATGGCTGCTTCTTGCACCTCTTGTTTCCCCAGAGTTAATAATTGTCTCACTTTCGTTTGTTTAGTTTTCCATGTATTGGTTACTGATCAATACCGAACTCTGCCCCATTCCTGTGGACCTCATGAGTCCCTCAATTCAAGACACCAGGTCGCATCTCCAGAACAGATCTCTGCAGAAACCTCCCCTTTGTTTCAGTCCAGACCAGTATTCTCTAGGCCACAACAGCAGCTGTTATATCGGGGTTGCTCTTTCCCACCATTGAGTGTGTGTGTCTGTGTGTGTGTGTGTGTGTTTTGTTGTATTTTTTGAGACAAATTCTTGTTATATAGTTCAGACTGGCACACTATGTAGCCCAGGCCAGCCTGGAGCTCAAGGCAATCCTCCTGCCTCAGCCTCCCAAGTGCTGAGAGCACAGGCGTGCACCACCACACCAGGCACCTTCCGAGAGGTTCCTGGAAGACCTAAAGCTTTGAATGTGCACTCATCACCCACCCGCCAGCCTCTGCCCCCTCCTTCCGTGTGTGGCCCTGGGCAAAGGAGTCACTTCTCAGTATCCCCCATAGAGACAGGAGGGAGGCAGCTGCTTCCCGGCCCCACCAGTGGGGGAAGCTGGCATGGGACCCCATCCAGTCTTGGGCTCCAGGGGCTCTGGCTGTTTCTGTAACAGGAATTTCAGCCCATGCCCGGGCCTGCCTGGGGCCCTGGAGGCTGCGATAAGCCCGGCTCCTCTCGTGAATCCTGCAAACCCCTTCTGAGGTTTGGCCTCCTTCCAGCAGAGCACTCAGGTGCGGGCGCCGTGTCCTGGCCTGAGACCTGCCCAGCGCACCCGCACTGTCAGCTGCCTGGGGTCTCCCAGAGGTCAAGGAGCCCGTCCCCTCTGGGCAGTTCATGGCCATCATCTTTTTTGTTTGTTTTTTTGAGACAGGGTCCCACTATGTAGCCCAGACTGGCTGTGAACTCAAGGGGATCCTCCTGCCTCAGCCTCCCGAGTGCTGGGATTGTAGGTGGGCACCACCGCACCCGACTCAGTCAGCCATCCTTTTTAAGCAGGGATGGAGGAAAGCCTCAGCCCTGCAGGGTGATAGGGCCGTCCTCTGAGTGCCAGCAGGGTTAGATTCTCAGATGTAAGTTTAATCCTGCGGGAAGCTGTGAAACAGAGTTGTTCTAAGGCTCTGTATGGGGACACAGCGGGGCCTCCTCACCAGCTCCCCTCTGCAGAGAGGTGACCCCTGGGGTTGCTTCCTTCCTCCTGTGCCCCTTGGCTGTGCCCAGCCCACGCCTGCCGGGGACCAGCACTGCCCAGCGTGGGCCCTGGCTTGGAGAGGCCGGTTGTGTAAGGGCCTGGCCGCCTTTCTGACCCGATGGGTCCCGCCTGCAAGTTCAAAACTGTTCTTGGAGGAGCAGCTGCCAGAACCCAGTGCCGGGGGAGGCTGTGGGACGGAGGCCACTGGGGCGGGGGGTGTGGCTGCCACCGGGACCTGGCCCAGCCCCTGTCCCCTGGAGGACGGCACCCTGGGGATCTGCTGGTCCCTGCTGTCCGCGCCCCGCTTCTGCTCCCAGAACAGTCCTGTGGCCCAGCCCCAGCCGTCCCCCCAGAGCCACTGGGCTCCCGTCCCCGCCCCCCCCTCCCCCTCTTCTTCCCACCTTCCTTGCCCTCTGCGTGACCCTGCCGCCTCTGCCGGGGTCCCACTTGCTTCCGAGTCACTTGATGTCTTGTTCCATGTGCTTCGGGGCCTCCTCTCCCCACTTCTTCTTTTCTCTTCCTCCTCGCTCTGCTTCCCTCTGACTGTGCTCCTTCTCCCTCCCCACACCCCGCTGCACGGGCCTGGGACCCGGCCTGGTGGGGAGGCAGTCACTGCTCCCCATCTGCGGCTCTGGGCTCTGCCCAGTGGGAAGTGTAGCTGGGGAGAGGTGAGCCGACATCCCTTCACTTATAGAAGGACCTGTGTTTTTCCCCTTCAGTTCATTTGTTACTTTATTTCTTTACTTAGGTACAGGGGATTGCATCCGGGGCTTTCACACTGGCCCACATCCCCAACCCCTTTGTCTTTTTAAAAAAAATTTTAAATGTTGAGATAGGGTCTTATTGAGTCACTAAGTTGCCCGGGCTGAACTTGAACTTGCAACCCTCCTGCCTCAGCCTCCCAAAGTGCCAGGATTGCATGTGTGCACCACCATGCCAGTTACATATTCATCAAGGCCCTGCCAGTTACATATTTTCTGGACGTCATGGTAGGTTCTGGGGTGTATACAGAGGAATGGGGGACACTTGTACAGTGGCCCCTAAAGCTGAGCGGCAGAATTTCTGTGGAGGGCTTCAGAAAAGTCAGACTCAGCTGGGTATGGCTCTGAGTCAGAGGACAGCCTGAACTACAGAGTGAGGCCCTGTCTCCAAAAACAAAGCACAAGGAAAAGAAGAAAAAAAAAGGTGTAAACTGGAACAACCCAGCCCTAAAGAATTAAAAAGAAACAGAAAGAAAAAAAAGTAACAACAAATCAAAGAATTAAAAAGCTGTATACAAATATATATTTACCTCTAAGGGCAAGAATAAGGCAACTAAATATCCAGCAACAGCAGGAGAACCGGGGATGGCTCAGGAGTTTGATGGAGGGCGAGGCTGCGTAGAATCCACCCGTGAACCCCACAGTTCATGAGTGGACACCCACCCTCAAAATGCCACGTGCCATGCAGAATACCAAATAGAGGCCTGCGCCTGCAGCGTAGCAGTGCAGCCTGTGTATGCACAAACAGGAAGTGTGAGCAGAAAGACTAACATTGTAGAGCTAGAATGCTGGGATCAGAGGTGAGACCAAGGCAGCGGAAACTCCGAAGGGACCCCCAGGATTTGCAGGCAGATTTGTTTACACCGATTGGCATCGATCAGGATCATCCCCAGAGTATCAGGCCCTGGTCTCTGGTGGTCTAGGGCTTATATGGGGTAAGCAAGCAGGAAGTACAGAGGCAGAACGGCTTGTCAATTAGGGATTGGTTTATACAACGTGCATCATAGTGAGGAGCTACACATGACCAGCTGTTTCTAAGAGACAGGAGCAACTGGACCTGGAACAGGAACTCTCACCTGGACAACTAAGAAACTGAAGTATACTTGCAGGGTGTGGGGAGCAGGGAGCATTTTCTGCTACAAGACTTGTTTTCCCTTTAATCCTGCCACTTAGGGCCAGGGATATAGCTCAGTGGCACAAGCGCCTGCTTGGCAAGCACAAGGTCCTGGGTTTGATTCCTGGTACCAAAAAAGAAAAAACAAAAATCCTACCACTTGGGAGGCTGAAGCAGGAGGATCACTGTGAATTCAAGACCAGCCTAGACTACACAGTGGAGTTCAAGGCCAGCCTGAACTGCATAGTGAGACCTTGTCTCAAAAGACCAAAAGAAAAAAAAACAGTCCTTTAATGTCTTCACATGGTTTTTATAACATTTCTCTTTACAGAGAAGTTAAGATGTGGGTAAGAGTTTGGTGGAAAATACCATGCACGCCGTCTCCTTCCTCTCTGGGAGGCCCAGCTGGGCCCCCTGCCCGCGCTCTGGGGAGTTTCCAGGGAAGCAGCGAGGCCAGCCCTGCAATTAGCCACAGCAGGCCCCAAGCCTGGAGCTGCTGCGGAGAGGCAGGCCAGCTGCTCCCCCAGCTCCAGGCTTTATCTCCGTGCCATCCGCACAGCACAACGGCCAAGAGTCACGCTATTATCTCCACCCTCCAGGTCGAGAGCTGGGTAACTCGCCCAGGGCCTGGCAGTGGGGCGAAAGCAGAGCCAAGCTCAAGCCTCTCCCTGTTCCTCTGAGCTCCGCAGCCCTGTGGGGCTCTGCGCGTGGCCTGCTGCGCCAGGGAGCGAGCCGCCTCACCTCTCTGGTCTCCTGGTCACCCTTGGGTAACAAGGCGAGGGGTCCTGCACAGAACAAGGCCTCTGGACTTGAACTCAGAGCTCCTCACTTGTCTAAACAGTGCAGAGGACTGTGGGGCCATCCTCCACTGGCTTGCCACCCCTCCCACCCACCCACCTACACATCCATCCGTCCATGTATCCAGCTGTCCGTCCCTTGCCCATCTGTCCGGGTTGCGGGTGTCGCTCAGGGGCAGAGTGGCTTAGAATGCCGGGACCCTGGGTTCAGTCCCTAGCACTGCAAAAACAAAACATTTGTCCATCCATCCATTCTCCATCCATCTATTCACCGATCATCCATCCATCCATTTGTTCATCCGTCGGTCATCCACTGCCATCCATCTGTCCTCCACCCTGCCCCACCCATCCGTCAGTTCAGCACGCACCTGCTGAGCCCTGTGTGTGAACCCAGCGCACCCGATTCCACTAAGACACTGTCCCATGAAACGAAGGCAGAGGGGCGCATCAGCAGACAAGCGCGACACACCCCCTCCACGCTGGGTCACCTGCTGCAGAGGACAGGCTGGCCGTGCCATCGGAGGCATCGCACGCGGTTTTTCCTGTCGTTGTCACTGTTTGAAGCTCCCCTAGCTGGTGACGAGTTCCAGAGGATGGGGCCTTTTTCTCATGCACCTCCGCGCCCCACAGGCCCTGCACCCCGCCAGGAAGCACAGGTGATGCCTCCTGTCTGCCGAGCTGCCTGGATGGCTGGTGGTGCTGGCACCACGGCGGACACTTGCGGAACTGTGCGGAGGCCCCGAGCGGTGGTGATGGTGGGGAAGAGACGGCCGGGACAGCTCAGCCCTGACGGCAGCTTGGGAAGGGAGGGACGTGTGCTTTCACCAGAGGGGTCACAGAACCACTCAACCCAAGAGCACAGGAGCCCTGCAACCCAGAAGAAAGGCGGGTGAGATCAGGGCTCAGCAATGCCAGGACCTAGGGCCAGGGAGCGGGGACACAGCCCTGACTCCATAGGGAAGCAGAGGCTGCCGAGCTGAGTCCCAGAAAGACGGCAGGTGACATGTACCTTTAGATTCCACCAGTTTTAAAGAGACAGAGTTTTTTTAAAAAAAAAAAAAGACTGTATTATTGTCCCGTGCAGTGATCCGTCCTCCCAGGAGGCTGAGGCTGGAGGATCCCTTGAACCTGGGAGTTGGAGGCCAGAGCCTGAGCTACAGAGTGAGTTCAAGGCAAGTTTAAACTACATAATATGACACTGCCTCAAAAAAAAATTGAAAACCCTAACAATGTATCTCCTATAATTTGGCCTAAGTGAATAGTGACAAGATGAAGGCAAAGGCAAAAAAAAAAAAAGGCGGCAAAGATGAAGACAAAGATGAAGACAGAGGGCAAGCATAGTGGCGCACACCCGTAATTCAAGCACTCAGAAGGCTGAGGCAGGAGGATTGCTGTGAGCATATGGAGACCCTGTCTCAAAAAAAAAAGATGAAGACAAGGGCATTCACCACAGCCTTGTTAAAATGACCAAAAATGGGAAGAAACCTTGTCTAACCAAGGAATGGGTACATAATGATTTACCCATATACGGAATACTATGTGCTATTAAAATGCACGCACGGACATATTTGTAGCCTTGAAAAAAATAATCAGGATAGGCTGGGTGTGGTGAGCTCCACAGCGAGACCCTGTCTCAAAACAAACAAACAAGCGACACGTTTCATAACAGTATGTTTGATATTGCTGCATTTTGATGTATAAAGTGTATCAGTTGTCTCTGGTCAGGGGACCCACGGTGAGTTTTTGCTCCTTTTTGCCCATTTTCCCCCTAACCTTTGTGCAGCAACGTGAAGGCCAGGACAGTGCACACGAAACCTAAGTAGGACCAGGCTGCTCTAGGGGCGTGCACTGCCCCGGCACTGGGAGGGAGGCACCGGGGCGAGCACATGCCATCCCAGGCAGCCAGGTCTCCGGGGCAAGGTCACACTTGCCACCTATCCCCACAGGAAACGAGAGCTCCAAGCGTCCAAGGAAGCAGGCAACGCTGTCAGCTCGGCGTCTGTCCCGCACACCCTGGGCTGAGCCTCCGTGTGACCTCAATGTGGCCGGTTCTGTGCCGCTGCAGCGGGGCAGGGAGCCGAGCAGCTCTTCCACAACGCAGAGAACAAAGACCCCAGGAGGACCAGGGCGGGAGAGCCTCCTCCTGGGGACCCTTTCATGTCAATTCCCTTTCAGGAAGTCCTTCCTACACCAAATTTCTACCACTGTAATGATAATAATCTCATTGTTTTCCTCTCCTGATAAAACACCTGAAGGACGTGATAAAAATACATACTTGGAGCTGGGTATGGTGGCACACACCTGTAATCTCAGCCCTCGGGAGGCTGAGGCAGGAGGATCACTGTGAATTCCAGACCAGCCTGAACTACATAACAAGACCTTGTCTTAGAAGACCAAAAAATATAGATAGATATAGATATCTATATATCTGTAAATTCATCTCTCTCCGTGGTCAATAAATTACAGATGGGGAAGAGGGTCTGAAACTTCCAAGAGCTGTACAAATATTGTTTTTCTCTGATTATTTTGTTGTGAATTTCTTTTTCCATAAAAAAGTAAAAAGAATCAAATTTTTATTTTAAAAAAATTAGGATTAAACAGGATCTTGTCACTGAATTATATCTCTCACCTTTTTTCTTTTTTCTTTTTTTGGGTGTGATAGGGTCCTGCTATATAGTCCAGACCAGCCTCTGTTTTTTTTTGAGAGAGGGTTTCACTCTATAGCCCAGGCTGGCCTCAAACTCACAGCAATCCTCCTGCCTCAGCCTCCCGAGTGCTGGGATTACAGGCGTGCACCACCACACCTGGCCTTAAAAGTCCACTTTTAAAATTCTGATTTTCCTCATTCCTTGTCTGCTTGTCTTTATTTCTTCTTTGGCACCTCAGCTGGACGCTGGCTATTTGTGCAGCTCCTTTCTCTGAGACCTGTGAGAGCTTCAGTCTCTGTCCCCTCCTGTCTGCTTGCAAAGTCCCAGTGTGCCAGGCTGCAGCCAGACACTGCCCCGACAGATCCCCAGCCGAGCCCTGCAGGCCACAGCCTCCCCTTCAGCCTGGAGGTCAGGTTCCTCTTCCTCAGCGGCCTCCACTCCCCGGAGCCATAAGATCTCTCTCTGCCAAGCCCTGTCTTTGATTTCTTCTCTCTTTCTCTTCATCACCAAAATCCCCAGAACCTTCTTGGCAACCGTGTCTAGCAGCAGAATTCCCTGGAAACCCAAGGCCTTGTTACAAGTGGCAATCTCACAGTTAGATCTGGGTGAGACTCAGTAGCCAGGGGTATGCGGAACGGCGCATGTAGGAAGCCCTGGCTGTATTCCCAACATTCAAAGCAAAACCCTCATGATGGTTTCCTATTTCAGCCCAAGTTAAATCAAGTACTTACAATGGCTCCACCTCTCCTGGGCTCCTGGTTGCTCCGATGGTGCAGTGAGTACTCCTGCCCCAGGGCCTTTGCACGGTGCCTACTGTGCCCAGCATGCTCTATCTCGGACTTCCATCTGGCAAGCTATCATCTCCTCTGCTCTGTGTTCACACTGCCTTCTCAGGGCGGTCTGCCTTGTCCCCCACCTGTCACCTGGCACCTGTATGCCTGTCCACTGTGTTTCCAGAGGTCTTCCTGTGTGTGACACAACCTGTCAGCATTGCTGTCCACTCACCAGCCCCACCAGGAGCCACGGAGGTTTAGCTCCTTCCGTTGTTGGTGCCTCTCGCATGTCTAGAATGTGGGCATGGAATGCAGTAGCTAAGCGAACGCTGGACTCACGAAGGTGTGTAGTTGGAGTCCAGTCTGTGTGGAAGAGGAAATGCGCTCTGGCTAAGCAGGGCAGAAATGGGATGGAGCCTGTCGGCCACAGCTGGCCATCAATTTGTTTTGGTCTCACCTTCCCTGAGTGGGAAGGGAGGGGAAGTGTACCGCCCATGTCATACTACAGCTACCTGCCATCAAGGCCTCCCCGGAGACTTCTGAGGCAGGCAGGCAGGCAGAGAGGCTGCCCTGATGTCCTGAACCTGTTCAAAACATTGTCATCGCAGCACTCAGGAGGCTGAGGCAGGAGGATCCTCATGGGCTCAAGACCAGCCTGGGCTACTTAGCAAGACCCTGTCTCCAAAACAATAAAAAAGGAATGGTGGGGCGACCGTGATTTCAGCCAAAGTGTGTGGGGTCTTCTGCCAGGACCTGAGCCCAAGGCTCGGGGCAGGGAAGGGCGGGGGTCAGGAGGGCAAGAAGCTTTCACTGTCATGCCAGGAAGTCACTATGGTGGCCACACCCGGGTGTGTCCCGAGCGGAGACAGAACCTTTATGACAGACACATCCCACAGCCTCACCTCTGTCTCGCTTCGCTGCTGCTCAGCAAGCCTGGCCCTGCCGCCCTCGAGACTGCAGAGGGCAGGGTGAGAGGCTCGGGAAGACACAGCGCCCTGCAGGTCACTTCAGCGGCTCCCTGCGCCCTGCCACACTGGCTGTGCAGCTGTCCTCTGCCTGCTCCGTGCTAGTGGAGGCCAGGTGGGAAGGGAGCCGGCCCCGAGCCCGCTGGGAGAATAAGGGGACCGTTCCCTGAGCTGGACGCAGAGGAGTGTGTACTGAGTCTTCTTTTGCTGTTGTTGCTTTGGGGCCGAGTCTTACTACACAGTTTAGACTCATCTTCACCTGGAGCTCAAGGCGACCCTCCCTCCTCAGCCTCCTGAGTGCTGGGGTTACAGGCATGCGCCACGCCGCTCTTGCCTGGCGTTTGTGAGGCTCCAAATTCTGATCAGCACTACAGGAAGAAGGAAAAACTGCGGATGCGGCACCCTTTGGGGGCAGGCAGGCAGCAGCGGACGGGCTCCCGTGGGAGACAAGGTGTAAAGGCTGAGAGAGAAGGTGAAGGAAGCCGCTCACCCGCGCAGCTCCCGCCTCGGAAGCCCTCAGAGGCTCCACACACAGCGGCCAAGTCTGAAGGCCCGCGGTGGTCCGAGGAGGCCCTGCCATGGGCGTGGGGATGCTGAGGCCAGACAGAGGAGCCTCCATCAACGGGTGGCTGCCATGACAACGGGATAATGCCTCGGACCTCCTCCCTTTCCAGAATTTGCGCTCTGAGCACCGAGAGGCACCAAAAACAAAGGCCAGGGGACAGACTGTCCCCTCCCAGGGACACCTCCTCCTCCAGGACGGTGGTGGCCTCTAGGTGAGACCGGGTCAAGCCATCCGGTTTCCTCCTCCAGGGGGACTTATCACAAAGGCTTGCCCTTCCCAGGAGTAGAGGAAAGCAGCCCGCTTCCAGGCATTCACTCATTTATTTATTATTTATACTGCGCCCGCTTCCAAAGAACTGTTTGCAGTGGCTCAGCATAAAAGCTGTGCACACAGCAGGTCCATTCCGAAGCGAGTAAAAGCCCACAGGGTTAAAACTGTTCGTGACTGCAACTTCGTGACCGTGGGAGGAATGTGGTGTTTTGTTGTTTTGTTTTTTAAGGACAAAAGCGTTCTTTGACCTCAGGTGCTTGGGAGGGTCAGGGAGAGAGATTAAAACTGCAGCCTGTCGTAGAGGACAAGGCTAAGAGCCAAGGGGAGGAAAGGAGGCCAAGAGCAAGGGAAGCAATGCAAGCTGAGTGTGATGATGCTTGGGAGGCTGAGGCAGGAGAATCTCTGTGAGTTCGAGGCCAGCCTGGGCTACATAGTGAATCTAAGGCCAGCATAGACTACATAGCAAGACTCTGTTCCAAAAAAAAGGACTCAAAAATGACGTTTGAAGAACACACCATCCTTGCCTGGGTAGCAGGAAGCCAAGCCAGGGCGGGTACTGGCTCACCAACTCTGGGGTCCAGTGGATGCGCCCCTCAGATAGCCGGGACCTCGCCTGTCTCCGGGCCTTGGCCACTCACACAGGCAGCCCCTGCAGCCTCATCTGTCACCGTCTTCTCTCCCCTGTCCCCAGTGTCCAGCCCCGTCCTGGTGACTGCCAGCCTCCCGCTGGGCCTCTGTCTGCACAGCGGGGAAGCTGTGGCCACCGCCCAGCTACAGGCTCTGCCTTCCTGATCCTCAGGCCCAAGGAAGCTCCTGCTGCAGGGATAAGCTTTGGAGCCGGAAGGGCCGAGGACACCCTCCCAGAGAGCGAGGAATTCATCCTGCGGAGCAATTCTTGACCAGTGAGAGACGGGGCAGGGCAGGGCGAGCACATGGGCAACACAAGCACATGACAGGGACCAGCTGTGTCTCCAATGTCCCTCCCTGTGCTACTTCCCTTTCCCTCACTCTCCTTGCATTGGGTTATAAATCTCAGGAAAGAACTAGCACTTAACACTTAACTAGGCTCTTCTTGTTTTGTTTTTAGTTTTTTTGTTTGTTTTTGTTTTTAGTTTTTTGAGACAGAGTCTCACTATGTAGTCTAGATTGGCCTTGAGTTCTCAGAGATTCTCCTGCCTCAGCCTCCCCAGTACTAGGATTATGAGTGTGCACCAATAAGTCCAGCTTTTTTGAGACTTTTAGACTCCTTAGCTTGCAGGAACTGCTTTCTGAGTGAGGGTCAATCACATAGGAAACCACCAACTGTTAGGAGCATCTCAACAGAGCATCTCAACAGAGCTCCGAAGGAACACATGCCATGCTTGCCCTTCAGGATGTCTAGCCAAGACTCCACATGTTAGAGATAAGGAAGGTGAGGCCCTAACCAGACCACTCAGTCAACTGGAGGCTGAGCAAGGCTGGAACCCACTCCCCCTGATCCAAGACTACCAGGCATGGTGGTGTATACCTATAATCCCGGCACTCTGGGAGGCTGAGGCAGGGTGATTGCATGTTCAAGCTTGGTCTGATCTTGGAACTAATACTCAGCCATAAAAAATAAAAATAAAAAAAATAAAAATAAAAAAAAACCTGGGGGTGGGGATTTAGCTCAGCAGCAAAGCGCCTGCCTTGCATGCACAAGGTCATGAGTTCGGTTCCCGGTACCAGAGAAAAACCAAAAAAAATAAAAATAAAAATAAAATACTCAGCCATATGCTGCGAAACAGTGCTGCTCTTGATATTCCCGGGGCATGAAGAAATAAAGGCAAGAAATGAAAGCTGAGGTCAGGTGGAGCCCTCTCTCTCTTGATGGGATGAGAGGAACTGCCCAAGAACTGCAGACAATGTATTTATACACTGAGGAGGTTGATGTCGGTTTCAAGCTCTCTGCCTAGCAACCTGTTTGCAAGCTGGAACAGCTTGTTTACATGGCCAGAGGAGCTCTCTGTGTCCTAGACCACCATTTGTCTTAGCCCTGCATGTGTGACTGATTTCCAGCTTCAGTGGCTCCCTACAGCCACACACACCCCTCAGCTCCTCCTGGAGCTGCAGACAGCCATGGGTCACACGGAATACATGAGAAAACCTGGGTCAAACAGGTGAACACAGCCTCAGGTCCCCCAAACTGAGAGAAGACAGTGAACAGAATCTGAAGCCCATTTATGGGGCCTGTCCCACCAGGGAAGCAGTGAGAGATAAAATCCCTGAAGCTGAGGGGAATGGTGAACAGCAGAGAAATAGCCTTGCTTCTAATCTCTTCATCTTCTAAATCTCTATTTTCCATCCAGCACCTTTTTTTTTTTTTTGGTTTTTCTCCGGTACCGGGAACCGAACTCACGACGTTGTGCTTGCCAGGCAGGCGCTTTGCCTCTGAGCTAAATCCCCAGCCCTCCATCCAGCACCTTTTAAATTCTATCCTGAGGGTAAAATCACCATATTGAGAGCATATTTACTATATACAATTTTCTCGTTTGTTTTAGATTTTGTTATATAACCACAAATATACTATATACAGTTAAAGGTGGCAAATTAATAGCACAGTTTGTCATTTTCTAGGCTGTGTTTAATGCTGTTGTTATTGCTGATTATTCCACTTTAGCCAAGGTGACATAATTGTTCTAATCAGTTGTTCTTC